AAAATGACGTGCATCAAGGTCCTATTATGTTTAATGTATGTACCAAATTTGAACGAAATCCGTCCATGCATAACTGAGATCTGGGTCCGGAATGGTGAAAATGTGCGATTTCAATGCATTTTCGGCCTTAAAGCGGCCGCCATTTGGCTATCGTTAATGAGATCATGAAACAAATGCACATACATATTTTTGACATGATGTACCTTGTGTGTGTGAAGTTTGAACTTGATCAATCCAGACATGTCTCGGATACGGATCCAGAACTGAATTCTTTAAAACAAAATAGCCGCCAGTCGGCCATTTCAAACCCGATCCAAAAAAAAAAAAATTACGTGCATCAAGGTCCCATTATGTTTAATGTATGTACCAAATTGGAACAAAATCCGTCCATGCATAACTGAGATCCGGGTCCGGAATGGTGAAAATGTGTGATTTTGATGCATTTTCGGCCTTAAAATGGCCGCTATTCGGCTATCGTTAATCGGATCATGAAAAAAATGCATGTGCATATGTCCCAAATAATGTGTGATGTATGAGTGAAGTTTGAACTTAATCGGTCCATGCATGTTCGAGATACAGGTGATCACGGACGGACGCACACAGGGCAAAACATAAGTCCCCGTTTTCGGACTACGTCCGAACGGGGACTAATAAGCTTGGTATCACATGCAGTATATGTACCAGCTGTCAATCAACTAACACTAATTAAAAATTCATTGCAGTTCAAGTACACCTACAAGTTTTCATATGATCACTATACACACATTGATAATGTTGAGTTTTACCTTTGAGGCATTTCTGGTGGTATTTGTGGTAGACATGCTGAGTGAAGTTATTATCTTTCAATAACTCGTGTGATGGATGCTCAAACTTGGGGAATGACTGTGGTGTGCTGCCATAACTGGTGGAGATGGGAGCACCTTCAGACGGAGAACTGAAATCAAAGATAGAGTTTTCAAAGCATGACCAACTAAACCATTAACATAGTCAAATATAAACAGAACCGTAGAGAATTTTGTATTCAATGTCTGTGAACGAGTACATGAATCACTACATATCAGGGTGATCATGTCATGTGAACAGGAACTTGCATTGATGTCTACGTATTTCATAAAAACATACCTTGTAGACGCTGATCTTGGTCTATGTTCCTTGGTTCCCATCACCCAGCCTACATGATGTTCTATTGGAGGATTCTTGCTGTGTTTTGTTTTCTGTTTTCTTGGGCTCTAAATAAGATGAAACATTTATTAGATATTGGGTATCTCATAATCTTTGACATCTTGTCAATTATTTTTGATGAGTGATCTCCAATGTTGACCATATCCAACCACAATCATACCTATAATAATTTACTTTTATAGTGAAAGCTGAAGCATACAGTAATTTCTTGAAAGTCAAAATGCTTGGTGGTATTGATACTAGTTTTTTTATTAAAAATCTTTGCTGTAAGTATTTTAACCAGTTTTCAATTTAAAATTGCTACTGGAGTTTAACCATTTTAAGGCAATGCTATAATAACACTGTACATAACTCTGCTCAATTATTTTTTTATGACAACATAGCAGGAGTTGATTAGATTAAAGTTCACAAATCATCACAAAATTTGTTTCATCTCCCTGGAAACACCCAGTGACCTGATTGTGAAAATTCCTTTTTTACTGAGGTAACTGTTGCTAGAAGTAACCATGCCTGAATCTAGTCATTCTTGCTTGACATCAATCACATTCATAACACATTTTATTTCCAATAATCTAACACGTCCACATTGATGTCATGGTAACGTGAATAAATAACAGCACAATCAAACTCCTATTATCGCAAGTTCAAACAATATCAGTATTTTTGTTACTACTACATTGCATGCAGCCCCTCTCAATACGACCCACTCATAGTTTCAGGAAAACATTAATTGTTAATTCTATAAACTGAATACTCAATAGTAGTCAATTGGACCAGTTTATGGCAGTTTTGGTAAAAAATTCATATCCATTAATTTAATCAATATATGCAACCAAATGGCATTAGAAATACTTGTTGATAGTTAAAACAAACAACATTGGAAATAAATCAGGATTCCTATATGTTTAAAGCTATTAAATTACACATGCCTAGACTTTTAAGATCATCTACATGTAATTGCAAATTTAACACTTCAAATAAGAAAATAGCACATCACACAACGTATTCTTATAGTTCATGGGTACGAGTTTATACTGTAATGATTAAGATCACAACAAACCAAGACTCACCTTAGCATCCAAGGGAATGCCTTCTTTGACAACGGGATAAAACCTTGGCACAGTCGTGGCATCCTTCCTTGTTTTTGGCGTCCTAGAGCCAGCAACAGGTGTCCTCTGTCTAACATCTGGTACTTTAGTGGGTAATGACCTAGCTACCCCTACATCTACTGGTTTGGTCTGTGGTATTGCAACTGGTAATTAAATAAAAGTCACAAATCTCAGTTTGTTGTGTTATACACAATTGTGCTAGAATAGTGAACCTAAGCACAAGTGAATCACCACCCAAAAAAATAGAGTTCCTAGGACGAATGGAGTTAAAAAAGCCAAACATGAAAATCTCGTAAGACATTTCATCAACACACCAAATGATATTTGGTGTTGTGACGAACAGGATTGGTACATCACAATTAAAGTAAAGTACTAAAACAGTCCCAGAAAAACAAGCTTCAGCAAGTGAGAATGATTCCATTTTTGTTGAGATCATTAAATAATTTCCTGTGCATATTAAAACATGGTGTATTGTTATTGTGTAAAAACAGTCAATGAGTGTCAAATAAGACATGTTGTAAATGTCACGAGGCTGAAGACTATGATATTTACAAGAATCTAGTTCAATCGTTTGGTACATTTGGTAATGCATACATTTTATGTTTTCAATCACAACCAACAAACAAACAAACAACTGTCCCAGACTCCGAAAGAAACGAGATTTCCAATGTCCTATATGAATATAACAATGCTAGTTTGCATAAACAGAAGGCGTTCATTTACAGGAATACATACATAAACTAAACACAGGGTCACTAGATGAAGAATAGTGTAATCTACAATACCTGTTTCTACAGGACCTGTTTCAGTAGAAGACTTTTCTCCTACTACTGATACGTCTGTTTCTTCGTTTTTGTCATCTTCCTCGCTGTATGGCCGAATAGGTGGGCCTGGAGGAACTATCTGTTTCACATGGGGTGGTTGTGGCGCTAATGATGAAAACTGCTCTTTGCTTATGGTCTGGATTTTATTGTAACTAAAGTCCGCCTGAAAAAGAAGGTATATAAGAAGTGAATATACTATACAAGTGAAAGTAACCAGTGCCAGAATCAAATATCAATTAAGGTGAGTGAGTATAATTGAATTTGAATTGTCTTAAATATTATTTTAGCTGTCATCAATGAACAGCAGTGTGAAGTTCAGAAATTTTTCCTGATGCAACATGGTATTCTCCGACACGCTGATGGCGCAGCAAAAAAATGATATAATGATCTTCAAAATCATCTTATTGAATGTTGTAATTTGGTGAAACGGAATACACATTTTATATACATGCAATACAACCACATACAAGACATACACATACTTACCATGACATTAAAATAACTCTGGTGGTTGATGGAATCTTCCATATCTTTTTCAAAATAGAATAAACCATCATTAATCATTTTACCCAATTCTTGAGTCATTTTAGCTCTGGTTTCATGATAGCCTGTTCTATCATCTTCAAATGATGCTTTTTACTAGCTGGTGGTGGGGTTTGTGTTACAATAATAATTTTACTGACTTCACTGTCAGACATCTCATAGTCAGAATCATCATCCCTGAAACAAAGAAGAAACATTACCTCAAATGATCTTTCTATTTTACACCTCATATGTAATGTCATTCATTTGTTACTTGCTTTAACTTTCATGCAGAAACGATACATGGTTTTTAAAAGAGAAACATTGAGGGAATTTTGTGGTCCAGTGAAACCAGTTGTTTTCATTTTGTATGTGGCAAGTAATGAACAGGTTATAATTTCGATGCTTTTCATGCCCATATTTTGGAATTGGGACCAAATTTCTCCCAGTGCAGACAACCACACACAACGTTGGTAATTTTCCGTGGATACTACTCACCATTCTTCAGATGATGCAAACATGTGTTTCTTGCCGGACCTTTTTAATTCTTCATCAAATTCAAAATCAAGTTCTTCTTGACCAAATGAATCCTGATGCGATGAGCCAGAGACTTGACGCTAAAATTGAAAGTTTGAAAATATGGAAGGTGAAAAACATGTAATCAAAGATAGGGGTTTATTTCATGTAGTGATATACTCCCTAACTACGTCTTTTGAATCTATCTTTACAGGACCAAGCATACAGTTAATCTAATAAGTTCTAAACAGACTACTGTATAATACTTTATTTTCGCTTGGAATTAATTTTCGCTATTTTCACTGAGGGAATTATTCAGTAAAAATAAAATCCAGCGAATATACTTTCCTATATTTTACATTCAACTTGTCAAAAATCAGTGAAAATAAATTCCATACAAAACACCCAAAATGTCTTTTCAGCGAAAATTAATTCCAGTTAAAATGAAGAATTTGACAGTACTTATTTTCTGTTTGAAAATTAATGAATAGAGATGTTGTATTTTTATTTACTTGGATCTAGTCAAAAAGAAAATTTCCCCATCAACTTATAATCCAGTCTCAAAAATCAAAATCAAATTTGTTCAAAACGTACAGTAAAATTGAATTAGAAGCCACACCCATTCTTTTTCAACAAATGAGCCCCACACATTTACCATTTCTCATGTGTAGATTGCTTCAATAGAAGCAGTATCCCCTTTTTTACAATTTTAATAGAAGCCACAACTTTCTAATAAGTTCCATAGACAAGTTTTTTTTTTTGCAATTCATGAATATTTGAAAACATTTGATATCACATTTGGATCCCAAGGACACAACATCAGAACAATTGGACCACAGTTGCCTGTGCCCACGAGAAACTTAATACTGAGATTAAATCTACCTTTCTAGGTGTAGTTCTTGTCCTCTTCTTCACCTCCGTCCAGTCACCAGTATCAAATTCAGGCGCACTGGTTGATAAGCCAGATCTTCCGACCGATAGATACAATGCATGTTCTCTGTCTGAAGAAATATTGTCAATGAGTTCACCACTAAGACTCTGTACTGGTGATGTCGGGGCTGATTCTAGAGAAAAACAGACCGACATTTCAGCTTACCGCCAACTGATTTCATTCTGCTACTGTCGTGGAAAATTACGATATTTTGTCGCAGAAAACATGTTGAACTCTTGTCCTTGGTGACAGAAGCAGTGACTTTTAAGAAGGCAAGTCCTTCCGAACATACTTCAATCGGTAAAGAAATTTTTATGATTCTCACAACAATATTTCAAATGATTGCTGATTAACATCTCATTGAGTGTAAGTAATAGGGTGAGAGTTGGTTAGTTGCATGTGATAACGTACCTGATTCATGGTGTGGTGTAGTAGCATAATAGGGTTGTCCTGGAACAAATTCTGGAGAATCTGCCTGTAAAGTACTATGTTCTGGAACTGGGAGTGCTGGTAAGGGCCACTCTTCTGGTCGTTGGCGCGGTCTTAATTTCAATCTGTCCTTTGACACTTCCACTTCAGTGCTCTTTTCCAAGGACTGTTATTAAAAAAGTTACTTTAATTAGCTGCAGTGGCTGGTGCACGAGTATTCACAGGAGTAGAAATCTGTGGGTATGGGCTTTATTTATATAATATACACTAGTGGGGGTTTACACCAGCAAAATTGCATTGTATAATCTGGCTGCCTACTGTAATATTAATAGTCAAAATAACACTATGAGGCTAGAGTAAACTAAAAACAATTACTATGTTCACGTTACAGGATCTCGGCATGTGCCGAAATTTGTAATCCTTTGTGTTTTTGAACAGGGACTACAGCACTTGCGTTCACGTTTTTCAGGACCCACTTAGGACTGACTTGGTCCGTGCCGAAATCACGCCCTCATTCGTCCATCTGTTATTTGACCCAAACATGGAAAACTATACGCATATGATGATGATGATAATGATTGCTATACTGAAATAATATTCATTTGTTGTTATGGTATTTATTACGAGTCATTGTGCACATGAATGACAAAGAAGATTTGAAAAACAA